GTGTGTGACCCTGGTCTGGCATCTAAACATTTTCATTGCTCTCCAAGAGTTCATACTCTATATGGCTACAAAATCACATTCTCTTCTTTTCAACAGGAACCTAATCTACAGCAGCAACATTCTCTTTGCTGATACATATTGTTTTTTTCAATACCGGCCATTAAGACTACATTGGTTTTTGCTCATTCTTTTTGACGTAGCCAGCACCTTACCAGAATTGCCTGACAACTATTAAGCATTAGCACACAGCAGTTTTCTACATTTCAGCCTGTTTGTGGTGAAGCTCAAATCTGAAGTTCAGGGAACCAAACAGGCACTGGACAGCTGCACTAAATTGATATAAACCCAACCAGAATGGCCAATATAAAAATATAAGGAATATTAAAGGAAAAGTAGTATTTTTTGAGGATGGACCCGAGATCACTCCTTATGTCTACTTATAATCAACAAAGACTTCTAGCTTCAATCAGATAACATGCTTTAGAAAAGCTGAAAAACAGAATATATGCTTTTATGAAGTTTTATTTCATGTCTTTTCTGGCAGGTCTACCAAATAAACTTACAAGCATGCTATAGTAGACTTCAGATTCATCTACTTATTACATAATTAATCCTAGAATCCATAAATCTAACATCATTAATTCTGTCACTATGCACAGAATGCATGTAGCTTACAAACAACCTCATTTAGACACAAGTTATACAAGTAGTAAATGTTCTCCAATTTGTTTGCTACCAAGCGACAAGATGAAACTATAAAAACACACACAAATATCCAGGACACCAGTACAAAATAGAATCTTATGTCCAACTGCCAGAGAATCAAAGCAGACGTTGTGTAAGCGACTCTGACAATCAAACTCACACTCAGAGGAACTTACCCATTTGACTTAGTGTAAGAACACAGCACACTGAAACTTTCAAAGTAAACTTACTTTCCCTGTAGACTCTGTTAATTTCACTAAGCTCCTGATTTGTTCGTGAGCAGATGATTTCAATGAGCGTGTCTTCATCAGTTCCCAGGCCCTGCAACACGTACATGATTCAGTTAGGTGCCAGAAATGAACAGGCATGCTTGAATGGTTTAAAAATATTTTACAGACATCTCCTTTCTCCCACTCTAACAGTTTCACAACCATTCAGGGATATTTTTTGCTAGCTACGCCTGAGAAACCAGATGGAACATTTTTCGTTGCCAAATACTACTCCGATAGCTTTAAGATCCTGTAGATATTCTCTCTGGGCAACGTGCATTTGCTGTGAGCGTCTAACACGCAGTGGCCTCCCCACCAGCATAACTGGATGAGATCAACTCATCACAGCCCTTGTGTGATTGTCTTCTGTCCACTGGGAGCACAGGAAGAAAATCTGATTCTTAGCATACAAATGGACAACAATTAACTTGTTCTTCCCCGATTTTCTTCCCAACCTCCCTCTATACAACTCCTCCACTATAAATGCAAAGCCAAGGATGACACCTTGGGAGTTGGGAATAGCTGACCTACAAACAGAATATTCTGCATTTGTGGCTACTCTCTGATAATAGCTTGGTCTTCAGGCTGTAAAAACAGCATAAATGCTATATAAGCATATGATTATCCTAAATAGAACATATCAGATATAAGACCTTATAAAAAAAAAACCAACACCCAACCAAAACACCAAAACAAACCCCCAAACCCCAACAAAGAAGGCAAACCCAAACTAATCTGATTCACAGTAAGTTATGGCTAACCTCTACTTAAACCAGGAGAGGGCAGCATCTGATTATTCAAATAAGGGATTTGGCCCATAATTAAAGAATTACAATCTCCATACTGTTTTTTTGGGGGGGTTTGTGGGTTTGAGGGGCTTTTTTTGGGGGGTAGGGTTGGGGTGGAAAGGGTGGGTTTTTTAATTGTTTTTTTAACTCCTTTTTCATGTCTGGAGAAATCAGTTAATTGTTTTTTTTGTCTTCTTCTGAATTTCAACAGACATACTTTAATACTTGCTTTTTAATTATTTTTCTTTTAAATTAACCTGATCAAGAACACTCAGAATTTAAGCGATGATTATAAATACAAATTCCCAAGCCTTAGCTTGCTTAGAAAGATGGATGCACTGGCATGAGCTGCTCTCAAAGGCTCGTTTCAGTGGCCTGCAGAGCAGATATTTCTAAACTAGCAATCTATGCCATGTTTGCCAGTGATTGTAGGAGAATGAACACAGTGACTAACTGCTGCGCTGCTTCTCCTAAGACTGCTTTTGATGCCCCATCCTCCTCCTCCTTGTGCTCTGCACAGAGACAGGTCTTGGTACTTGGTTCTTTCAAGATCAGTGATATGATCCAGTAACTGGAAACTACTGTTTAAGCATATAAGTGCTAGCAGAGGCTTCAATGGCTCCAGCTAGCAGCTGCTCTTAATGTTTTTTTTGTACTATGTACCTGTATATTGTTTTTAAGAGCAGTCAGCAAAGAAGCAATTCCTGACCTGATGAAAATTATTTTTTTCCTTAAAGGAAGGATTTAATTAGCAGTTTACATATCATGTAGTTCCAGAATCTCTCATTTTGGATGCCTTGCAGCTGGATACTGAAACTGTAGTACTTAAAAAAAAAAATTGAATCAGTGGACATGTTTGAAAACTGTGGCCTTGGATATGAAGTCCATACTCATTCTTGAGACCGTGACATCAGACTAACATGTGTGACATCAGACTAACGTGCTTAAATTTCAAAGCTCATTTACCTTCATGGCAGCTTTTAATTCAGAGGCATCATACTGTGCTGGTGTCTTCAGCAAGCCCAAGATCACTGCCTCCAAATGACCCGACAGAGCAGACTTGAGTGCTGCAGAAAGTTCCTGTAAAAAAGGAGGGATGATGGAAGAAAAACATTAAAGCTCACTTCTGATCTCCAGAGAATTTAGCCTGTAGTGCCTCAAGTCTCCAAGCCTGCAACAGTGTTTCTTACACAACTGACAAGGAAACAGAACATAAAGAGCTTTTCTTTTGTGAAAGCCTAAGAAAGAAATTAGGGCAAAGGAATTTTTTCTCATCCTTTGAAAGTAAGAAGAAATCCACTGGTGGCTGACAAAGTGCTGGGAAAACAGGGTGCAGACACATTTGAACAGCTCTGCTCCAGCCCTGAGGCACTGATACTTTCCTGGAGCTAACAAGCGCGGACGGATCCACGTTTGACTGCCTGCGGTCAGTGCTTCTCTGCCACACTCCCATAGTTTTCCCAACAGCACTGTATTATTTGTGGTTTTCCTATTATCCCAGCCCTTTACTAGCTGAGACATCGGAAAATTGACAGCACAGTTATTCCACTGTACAGGCCCAGTTCCCAAACAGCTAGATGAAGAGAAAAAATCATCCCCAAGCACAGAAGAATTCTCCCTGGCTTCAAGGAAAGTATCAGAAGAGTGTAGGCAAAGTCTCTATTGTTAATTGTCGGTCAATCCTTGAGACTGAAACAGTTAGGTATGTTCACCTCACAGGATGCATGCAGACCTGTGGCAAATAGACAGAGGCATGTCCTCTTTCATGGCTTTCAGATGCAACTTGAATAATGCTCATTATGAGCATCATTGTACTGCAGGTACAAAGTTCAAATCCCTGCGACCAAGTCTAGGGTTCACACAGCTCGATCTGTTCCCCAAGCTGAAGTCAAGTTTGTAGCATTCGGAAGAGAATTGCTGCATTTCAGTTGCTGGTTTCTACACTAACAATTTGTGAGCTTGAGGGGCAGGGGAAAGGGGGTAGACAAAGTGACCTCAGCAGAATTGCAGGGCAGTTTGTATCAGGGAGATAAAGAGCCAAGGCACTTAGCTCATTTCCAGAGTCACCCACTAACTCCAGGGCACTAATATATGCTAATACTGCATGGATTGACCAAGACAGGGAATGGAGGTTTTGGACATCTAGCTGCTGTAGTCTAAGAACATTCTAGCACAATAATTCACATTTGGATACAATATTCCATCATTTATTTGTGTGAAAACAGGTTATTCGGACATCAGCTGAAACACCAAAGATACTGCGTATCTTTGTGACAATGCCTTGAATTCCAATTAGCTAAGCAAAGTTTTTGCAATCTTTCACTTTGGTGTGAAAGCTGAAGGAAACATCATTACAGCAAGATTTAACAAAACAACTGCAACAAAACACCTCAAACTGAACCAAGTACCTGCCCTCATATTAGCAGGCTTCTGGAGAAATAAGGCCTTCTCCCCCTGCCAGGAAAGCATGGTCTCTGCTCCGCCATTCTTTGCCATGGCTAGCAGCACTCTAAGAGGGAAGTGGGAAGCTGATAACTGACATATCATTAATTTACAAACAGCAAAGACAAAAGGTTTTACTAAGTGTTCCAAATGAACATCTGGATATTAGCAGGTCATTTCAAAGTTAAGAAATTCTTGGCGGCAGTTAGGATGACCTGATACATACGAAGACACACACGCAGAACCTCCAGTGTTCACTGGTAGCTCCATTAACACTGGTGATGGGGAAAGATTGCACAGATCAAACACTGCTCCTCAAGATTACCAGTAGTTTCCATTAGACACAGCTCAACTCAAAGGAATGAAAACAGAGGCAGACCTGCGACTTTTTAAAATTATAATGATCTACTGAGAAATCCTGCAACACACAAAATGAGCAGCCTAGTACAACGCAACACATTGCCAAAGCCATCTGCACAACCCGTTGCCAAGGAAAACCATGAGATACTGTCCCTAGAAGATACACCTATGTGTCTTTTCATATCCCATTTCCTCCTCTCTTGCTATTCACTTGTTTATTTCACTGAGTGGTTTCTACTGCAAATTTCCATTGTTTCTACAGACTGTTTTATTCTTTGGCAGTTGTTAAACTTGATGAATTCAGTTTGCTCTTGGATTGCAGCAAGGAAAAAAGGTGAGAGAGAAACAGATGACAAAAGTTGCAGATTTTCGTGACTGCACATTTTTGTGGTCATGCAAAACATTTAACAAAGCTTTAAGTGACACATTTCACTACTAGGGTCCACTTCTATGCATGATTCCCAGTGCCCCCAGGCCGTGACCGCCAGGGTGCAGACACATGCACACATGCATGCGTCCAACTGTTGCGTGCTTCTGCACGTGCCTGTATCAGCCATGCACAAAAGGTGGTGAATTTCCAAAATTTAAGTCTGGATTTACATTTGGTTTCAGATGAGCATTCTGGGTTGGTACTGGAGGACTACCATTTGGGGCCTGGCAAACCTGAAAGAGATACATTCATCATAATCCTAACTCTATACAAGTTTCCTCTTTTTCATGGGCACAAAACTTCAATTATGGTACAATTCTCAAAACTTCAAAAGTCAAGAGAACTGCTCTTGCCTTCCAGAGAGTGGGACTTAATATGCAGAGTTCCGCACACATTTCACAGATTCTTCTCCATCAACAGATCAGTACCTAAGGTATTTCTGACAGGATAATATCTAGTGATAATTCAACTCATTATATCACTTTGTTCCACATCTGCAGCATTTGTAGCACAGCTGACTGCAGTCTTTTCTCATTTTAGCTAGCTCTGTGAACAGAAACAGAATACTTTCCTTGTGTCGAGTTGTCTTAACAACAACAAAAAATAGTTTTAAAAAAATAATCAAACCCTTACAGCATCTCTCTTTCATCTTTTCCTTCAAACTGAGGCATTTCACATCAATGGCTTTTCACTATTTCACCAGGCAGTGCTGTGGCTGGCTGGTATGCCACCCATCGTGATTTCTGGAGGTGCTAGAAAACCACCGTCTCCAAGATAATTCAGTCCCAGTTGTGCATACTCAACAAATTTGGAAGTCCCACCAGTCCTACGCTGTGACAGCATAGACAAAGTAGATGCATCTTTAATCCCAGTGAAAAGATAAGCCAAATAATCCTTATCTCCAGTCTACATCCAGGTAGCTGTAAAACACGCAAGCCCTAAAAAATCTAACTGTCGACAAGAAAAATATTCAATACTTGGTACGTCTTCATATTTTGCTACCTTTTTGGTTCTCCTCTGATAGGCAAAAGCAATATCCTGCCTCTGTTCATTGCTGCGGTTTGTCAGGATGTTGATGATGGTGACTTCATCCACACCTAGAAAGACATAAGGCAAAGAGTTAAAGCAGCTTTCCTGTTACTGTTCTCTCTGTGCATGTTCTCCGACACTCAAAGCGCAGCCTGTGTGCTGTGCGTTTGGAGCAGAGCTCAACAGCTCTCATTCATTAGCGTATGTCACGTCCTGGCCTTGGAGAAAAGGCAAGCAGTTACAGTCCAAATTTTTGATGCGAGGCAGATCTTCATGTACACAGGCATGCATAAACCTCAACAAAGTCTAGTTTGTGACAAGCTTTGCTACTTGTGTTTTCTGCTTTTCTTGCCTGTCTGTGTACTTGCGTTCAGCTACTTAGTATTCTGCAAAAAGTTGCTCAACAACACAGGCTTTAAAACTGATATCAACTCGTACTTACTAAAGCCTGCCCTGTCATTTTGGTTGAATATTTTCAATTAAGGCTTCTTAATAAAGCAGTTATATTTTCTGTTTAACCCACAGTCACTTAACTATCACTTCAAACATAAAAATGGGAAAATAAACTAACATATTTCATCCTGTCAGCAGCTCAGAGGCTCAGAGGACATAAGGGTTTTCTGACACTAGAAGATCTACATATGTGCTACTTTTCTTGAAATCACTTGAAGATCCATGCCGAGTTTGAACTAGCATGCCTAGAGGACCTGAATGCTCAAACTCCCAACCTATCCTTTAAGTAAGTGAACCACGTACCAGTACAGTTTTAATTGAAGTTATTCAAATCCACAGACTTAAATGCAACTGCAGGCTGAATGCAAGGAGATCATTGAGATTTTATTGCAAGTTAAAAGCCAAATCATGCATCTAGGGTTAGATATACAGGTTGCCAACAGAACCTAATGCACACCACAGCTTTAGAGCCTGTAGGGGTCATCAATGCGGGTCAACGCATACAGAGAAAAAGCTTTTAGGTTGTACAGGAAGCAGGATTTCCAGATGTTATTTCCTAGATACAGCTGCTTGCTACTCTATGTTATTTCCAATGCAGGCAGCTTCTTGTGTCTTTTCCACTTGCTCCTGTCTACCACTGCTAACTTGCACTTCAGATTCCCTCTCATTTTCCCCACTTCACTTCTTGCTTTCAAACTGGATTCTCCTGAACTTATTTTCTTCAGACTGGCACAGCTCTTCCTCTCATCACAATTCTAATCTGCTGCTTGGTCTCGGCAATTCAAAAGACATCCCAGAACCTGGATGGACTGGAGGCTCTGGAGCTTCTTGAGATGAACCTGGAGCATCTGACTTTTCTCTGCATCCTGTGATAGGGCTCTAACCCAACGGTCATACAATTACCAGGCCCTGCAAACGTCCATGCCTCTCAAAGTGCTCTCTGCAAGGACAGCTACCCTTTGTTTATTCACGTCAACAAAAAAAAGCCAAGCAAGCTGTATGTGTATTCCCACAAATAAGCATTAAAGTTATATTAAATACTTTCTCTTACTGTGAGAGTGTTTAGAAACTGCCCTTGCAAGAAGCCAGTCTCCATTACTCAAAGGAAAATGTTTAGAAGTGCAAGCCCCCTTCCCACAAGGTAAAACAAAAATATTGTTAGTAACGGATACAGAGCAGCCAGGGGAAAAAAATGAGCTGGAGTAACAAATACAAAAAACTGTGTGGCACACTGCGACACTGAATGTATCTGAACAGAACTGAAAAGGTCAGCCCATGTGTACTCAATCAAATAGCAGGTGGCTGAAATTTCCAAAGGCCTGGGTGAGGACACATTAGCTTGCTCAAGTAAAATCTCATTTTAAATTTAATTTTCTTGCTCTGTTTCAAATCACAAACACAGCTATGTTTTTTAGGACAACTGTAGGACATCTTCTTAGAATGCTTTGTGAAAAGATACAATGAAAGAATTTGAGCCCCCTTTCCCAATCCTCCAACGCGCATTTGTGTCTACATTGCTGAACTCAGCCCCTAGAGGAAAACTGTCTGATTGTATTCCATGTATGTTATTGGTTAACCAAGGCTGCCTGGACATGCCATTCAAACACAGGTGGAGAGTAACAGCACAGCTGCAAGTAATGTCTACATAACAAAGTCTTCCAAACAGAAGAATCAGCATAGCTTCTAAACGGATGGACAGAGGAGACACAGCTAGAACAGCACTCATTGTTATGCTCAAATATCAGGCTAACCTATAGCCATGCTGTGTAACCATTTGTTTCGGGCTATTTCCACACTGACTGGACGAAGCGCAGAAAAGGCAAAACTATTTCTAGATATTGCACATCTAATACAGTGCATATTCTTCTGCAACAGAAAGATAACATATAACTAGTTAATTTTCCTGGTGAGTTGCTCGCCAGGTTTTGGAGCAAACAGGTGGCTCTAATCTAGAGGTCAGAACAAGCCCAGACTTTCAACTCAGGTCTCCCCATTTACAAGTATAATGAATAGCTTCTTTTACATTTCCACTCACATCGCTGTAAACGATTTTTTGATTAAAAACAGAAAGTAAAGACTGGATCAGCAGCTACCAGCAGGACTCAGGTCCCTGCCAGAATCCATCTACATTTATTTTCCTTATTACCCAAAGCAGCCTCACAGCAGCTTGAAACAAAGGACTGCAACAGATATTATAAAATTAATCATATAAAGTGTTAATGTTGCAAGAGACCCTTTAGCCCCTAGCTACAGAACCTAAAGTGATGAGTCAAATCCAAGAGTCCTTTCTCCCTCTTCACCACATTTTTCATGATGAAATACTGTACTTGATAGCCTCTCGCCCTTAGCTCCTTCTGAGGAAGACCTACATCAGTGCTCTTATTCACACAAGCTTGCCCTGCAAAAGTCAGAAGGCCCTGGAAAGCATCATCTTCGTTACAAACTTTGGTTTGAAAACATGCCAACTGCACATTTCAGCCATAATCTACTCCTGCACATTTTAAAGTGCTCCCACTTTATAAAAGAAAACAAATTCTCCCAGTCCAGAAACGGCCACACAGACAAGACACACAGACATCGGCCTTTCAGCTGTTGCAGGGCCACAGCATAAGCCAACGTCTTAAGCTTTTTAATAACTTCCAAGTTTAAACCATTCCTGGCATTCGAAAATGGCAAATGACATTTTCAAGCTTTATCACGATTGTGATAGATTAGAAGCTCACAAATGACTGCATTCAAGTTTCTTAGCTGTGTGCTTTGTGGATGGAAATATGAAGTTAACTCATTGCTCTGGCATTCAATGGAAAATAAGTGCTTGCACTTCACACTAGGGAATCGTGCTGCATGGACAGGATACTGACTCATATCTGCTGAGGCGGGGTGGAGCAGGAGAGCAGCTCAAACATTTTTCTTTGCTGTTCACTAAAATCTCTAGAAGTTTCAGTGTAATAAAACAAAAGTCTATGTCCAAATTTATTCTGGCTGGGCAGATTTTATTAATGCATTTCTATCAATGGGCAACTGAAAATTAGACGTTGTGGCTCACAATTTTTTTTTAAAACAAGAAAATTCCTTGCAGATGGAAATGTACTGTGGGGAGAATGTAATCTTAAAAAAGTAATAATAACTTTTCTTCTAAAAGAGGCAATCTGTTGCATTGGTAAGATCACATGGCTACAGCTCAACTGGCAGAAAAGCACAGAAATTAACATAACCAAAATGATCAGGCAAGAGTTTTTAATTTTTTGTTTTAAAAGACACTCTACTTGAAGTTCCATGGGCAAAAACAACTGCACCAACATGGTTCTGAATAAAATGGATGATATGGACAATCACTTAACTTTCTAGGATGAGGTGAGAACAGAGCGAGCATGCTCTTATTTGCAAGAGCTGGCATACATTCATTCAGCTCATTTACTAGAAGTCTGTTCTCTTACATTTAATTTTCAAAGACAGCATGGACAGAATACCAGAAGCTATTTCTGTCCAAACAGCATCCAAGTACTACAGAGATCATCAATCTACATGAATGAACAAAACGGGATTGCAGCTGGCCTCAAATTATTAGTGGGAGATGTACATGATTAGCCCTTCTGAGACCTCAACACTGTTGTGTACCTGGCACCAACTCAGTCCGAGGACTATTTGACAGAGCTCATGATCTGCAGTGTCTTATTTTCCTTGGATAAAACCCCAATCCCATTGGAGTGAAATGGAAATATTTAGATAAAATAAGACCATAATGTCAACTCTGCTATTTTGCTTAGCAAGATTTCACCAACCCCAAACCATGTTGCAATGAGATCTCTTCAGTTATGCTATTAATATTCTGAGTATGTGACTGATGCAGTTTGGTGGGTTTCAGGCACTCTGCTCCCCCATGAGCATGCCAGCAGATTTCCTCTAAGCTTTTACTCAATAACATTAAAAACTCTGTTAAAAGGTATGGGCATGTTGGATATACTGTATAAACAGTGAATTCAATCTTACAGAAAAGCCCTGTTATGGTTTACACCTCATCACTGTTTTACTCATTTCTGGATATAACGGATTTATTACAGATGTATTATGTTCTAAGCACTTTCCTACAACAAACCTGTGTTTGAACTCTGTCCTTCATGGAACAAAAAAGTATACTGTGAGACCTCAGTAAAAGGCTTCAGTTTAGGCTGCAAGTAATTAACTATTCACAACCTAGTCTGAGAATAAAATTATTTAACAAGGTATTTGAGACACACAAAGCCACAATGCTAGAGAATAACTCTGAAACAGAGGAGAGACACTTCAGCAGTCTTTTTCTTAGAAAGAAGTAAAAGGAAACCTAACATATGGTCTGTTAGTAGTCTTCTAGTTAGTTCCTTCTATTTAGGTTCATATACTTGAGCTAATCTATCCGCAGAGTACAACGGAGCATTACACAGAAATTACACAGCCTCTTGTCCTATACAGGAAAAAGGCAACATTTACAAAGGACATGTTACGGCACTAGATGAACTCCCTACAGAAAAAGTAAATAGCATAAAAATGAAACTGGCATAGCAATGACATTTATTACAGAAGGAACAGGCCAGAACTGTAACAAGTTCTTTGCATTACACAAATTCTAGGTTGAACTATTGCTCACTACAAACTGGTTTTGTATCACCTAGAGCTATTTCTGCACATCACCCTTTCTAGGCTGTTGGATATATTTAAAAGACTTGCACTTAATTCAACTCCACTCAAAGGCCAGCAAAGGGCTGAGCAATATATCTGTGCAGTATAGCTTTTGCAGATAGACCTAAGCCCACATAAACATACCACAGTATTTCCCACAATAGGTAAACAGATGGCTAACCTCTAAAGAATTAATCTGAAGAGTGTGAATGAATGCTGGGATATTTAGATATTATATAGAGCACAACAGTCAGACACTATGCCCCAGATCTTTGCTCCAAAGCATCTACACATCTGTTGTTCAGACAGTAAAATAGTTTTGCCCATTTTACACACAATCGCCAAAATGGAGATTCATGACTGATTGCGGGAGTTTGCATTACTGGGAAACAGCTGAATAATTAATCAGATGGTAATTTTTCAAAACTGCCCCCCCCGCCTGCAAATACTGTACTTGCATATTGTTTGTATAGAAATGCAGAGGGTATACCCAAGTGGTTTTTCCCAGAAGCAAGACTCCACAGGACATATTTTCCATAGCACTACTAGAAAGGACACAATTTGAAAGATACTTTGATGACTGTGAAATGCAGGCCCATTATAGCATGTAAAGACCTAGATTTTTTGAACAAAGAAAAGGCATGGGTTTTGGATACCAGGAGTCCTTTACCCTGTATGGATTAAAGACCCCAAAGCGCTTCGTTCTCATGTCCATGTTTTTTTTGAAACTGACTACCTCAACCACAAAAAGAGTCTGCGTATGTATTTATAACCTGTTATATCTCTCTCGCTATCTTAGCACAAGATGAATGAGTCACATTACTCTTTACAATTCTATGATAACTAACATTTCTTGTTTCTACCTTCTACATACAATGCAAACTAATTGCTAGAGAATCAGTGACACTTCCTAGGAAAAAGGAAGCTGCTGTGGGTATGCACGGTTTGGTCATTATAAGCATTATATTTTTAGCTCAAAAACCATGAAGATATTTCCCAGAAATATTTTAAAACATTTTCTTGCAGATGAATTTCCCTGTGTAGCTGTTCACATCAGTGTTAGTAGAAAACCAATTCTCGTCTGGATGATTCAGAATTTTCCTTTGGAAAAAAAAACATGTATATTTTAGAGTTAATATTTTAGCAAATCTTCCAAATTAGCAGATGAAAATACCCTGTAACCAAGCATCCAAAGTGCAACGAAACTGTACCTGGAAGAAGGGTTCTAACACTCTTGTTCTTTATTTCCCTGAGGAATACTTCCTTTGAGAGAGTCTTTATGGTGGAAGATTTGGTACTAAACTCCTAAAGAGACTGTCCCCTTTAAAGTCACCTTCCCATAAAAGCTCCTGGATAAAAAGCTAATAAGCAGAGATGTGCTCAATCCTACAAACAGGCAGCTCCATGAGTAAGCTTCCCTATTACTTGTTCAAAGGCCCGGGAATCATCTCTCGAACGAAATGTTTCCACGTATCTTAAAACCCAGATCAGCAAACTGCTTTTCTTTGCTGGAAGAAAACGGAAAAACAACACGAGCTTGACTTTCCTGACTGGAAAAGCTTTTGTACTTGCTAGGATATTGCAATTTCCTTTTACATTAATTAACAGCTTGAGTGCTAAAGTGTGTAAATTTGGACCTACCCTAAAGTCTGACAGTGTATTTGATATACTTAGATTTGTCCTATAATCAGACCTGTAACAAATTATTAAGACTAGACAAAACTCTACATACACACAAAGCATCTTGTGCCAGGCACGATGACATTTACTCCTCTCTTGCAAGAGCATTTTTTAAAATAAAAACAAACAAGAAAATGATTCAAAATCAGAACTGAACCTACTTTAACGACTACACAAGTGATTTCTCCAGTTAAATGAAGAAATCTTGCGAAAGCAAGCCTCATGCTTTTTAGGGAGGGGCAATATTTTACATTTTATAGCAAGTCAAACATGTGCTTTGTTGGCACTGATGGAAGACTCTGCATTTCTTTCTGATGAGGAACTGTTTGGCTCTTAACTTTCTCCCTTGCCTGACATGCAGGCAAAAGACTTGGCAGTTCCAGCTACGCCCAGCTGCTGCTTCTTTGACCTGGAGGAAGTCTGGACAGCATGGCACACCCTCTTCTCTGTTACAGAGCAGGGAAGGACCGAGGATCACCGCCCTGGGAATACTACCAAGGTATTCCTCCAGAGTCGTAGTTCATACTCCCTGCATTCCTGACTGTTTCAGTATACTAGGCTTTTCCATGCAGCTGCATCTCTCCCCTGCTCCACCATGGTCTCCTACCAGCCAGTGGAAGTGGTGGATCCTAGCACTGACACCAGCAGATGGAAGCCTACCTGAGAGTCTGGTTAAGAGAAGCAGAGGACTCTGACATTGCCCTGCCCCTGAAATACTGCAACATTATTTCATAGAAATCATAGAAAGTTTTGGGTCAAAAGGGACCCCTAGAGGTCATCTAGTCCAACCCCCCTGCAGCGAGCAGGGACACCGCTAACTAGATCAGGTTGCTCAGAGCCCTGTCCAACCTGGTCTTGAATGTTTCCAGGGATGGGGCCTCCATTACCTCTCTGGGCAACCCGTTCCAGTGTTTCACCACCCTCATTGTAAAGAATTTCTTCCTTATATCCAGCCTAAACCTACCCTGTTTTAGTTTAAAACCATTACCCCTCATCCTGTCACTGCTGTCTCTACTAAAAAGATTGTCCCCATCTTTCCTGTAGGCTCCCTTTAAGTACTGAAAGGCTGCAATCAGGTCTCCCCGCAGCCTTCTCTTCTCCAGGCTGAACAAGCCCAACTCTCTCATCCTGTCCTCATAGGAGAGGTGCTCCAGCCCTCGGATCATTTTTGTAGTCCTCCTTTGGACCCGCTCCAACAGTTCCATGTCCTTCTTGTGCTGAGGGCTCCAGAGCTGAACGCAGTACTCCAGGTGAGGTCTCACCAGAGCAGAGGGGCAGAATCACCTCTCTCGACCTGCTGGTTTCAGAAACTAGATTCTGTAGTTTCTAGGACTTTCTTTGATCCCAAATTAATACAAGATACATTAGCACTTAGTTCATAACCCACGAGAAAAATGTTCAAACCATCCCTATTCAGCTGTCTGAAGAGCTGAAAGGAAGAAGAAATGTGCAACCCAACAATCCAGAAGAAATTCATGATTCAGAGCTTGGTCCCAAATCACTTCCATGGAAGTTGACACTTCATTCTCAGTGGCAGAAAAGTAGTAGAATTTGAAGTACTGATGAGTCAAGACAAAAAAGTGGACATTTTCAGTGATTAACCTAAACAACTCATGGCTACAAATCTAAAAAGCATATTCAAAGCATGCATTTACACAGCTCTAACTCTGTCAAGATTTCACCAGTGAGGTCTGAGAAATCCAACATCTCCTAAAACAGGTATCCTACAGTAAGGATATTAAAACATTGGTCTTGAGACACAATACCTTTTTGTTTGTTTGTTTGCTTTTTGCATGCCAGCATTCTGTCTTACAAGCAGAATCAGAGCCACAGCCTATGTTCCTCACCTTTGGTCTTGATGGCTGTTTCCAGGGCTGCAGCATCCCGGTCAGCATCAAAATTTGAGTAGGCCTTAACTGTGGCATATGCACTTGGTGGGAGAGAATGCTAGAAGAAAAAGAAGAAAAACAACCTCAAAGTTAAATCATGTACTCATGTCCTCGCTGCAGTTAATAAAATGCACGCCTCTCGGTTAACGGGTATTTAACAAGAACTACCATCGGGTACCTTTGAAAATGGAATTCTGCTAAAAGCCACTGAACTCTGTTCTCATCATGTGTATTGTCCAGAAATCCACTCATAACCATGCTTATTGTAACAAAGAATACATACAAATAGATATTACATATTGTTGCAGCAAAAACCTAACACATTCCAAGTCTACTCACTAAATCTCAGTCTTCTAAAATACGGAGTTTTCTGGCTAGATCTGAAGGAAATTGACTACAGAAAGCTAATTCAAAGAAAGTTTAAGTATCTGCCATGAAAGCCTGAGGTATTTTAGATTTGAAGCCAATATTTTACTTTGGATTACAGGCTACAATTAAAAAAAAAGTAGAGGGAAGTGGAAGATTAACAATGAGTAAGTCGGAACAAGTTTTGTGCCCTATCTCACAGACTTCAAATGTAATACCAAAAAAGTCTTTTTAAGCTGATAGTTCTAAAAAGCAGAATTTACAATCTCCTTTTGTAACTCTGTGCCTGCAGATACTTGGTTTAAGCAGCACGAGGCTAACAAAACCAAACGACATTTCAAACTACCTCTGCTAAGAATAAGAGGACTTGCAGGTAAGTTCACTTAGTCAACTTCGTAAACTTAGTTGCAACATTTTAGATGTTGCCAGATTTTATCAGCTATTTATTACTGTCCTCTCCTGAGGATTACAGCTTCAAACAGGAGGTCATCGGAATAGAGACTCAACTCCTCTCAGCTGCTTCAGTGTAAGCTAACAGTTTAGCTTTTATCACCTCCCATGGGCAAGTTAAACTAAACCACATATTTTCATATAAATAGCTGAGAAATATTCACCAATCCCACTCTTCTGAGTTCTGTTTAGAGACCTAAACCTCTGGCAGAAAAGCGCAGTGACTCACACCTGAAATTGCCATTGCTGTTAAGTGAATGAACAACTAAGCTTTCTTGGTAAAGATCCCCGAAACTTTTATTGCAGTCCCTAACTCCAACAGAAGTACAGGTTTGTAAACAGGACTGAGCTATCTTATTATCCCTGGAGCATCTTTTTACATGCAAATTGTCAAAAGGAGGGCAAATTTTAACTAAAATTTCCACGGTTTTGGACTACATTTGACTCTGTCCTGTAGTGGTCACACTGTCCTGAACAGATTCCTCTGGCAGCAACCACTGTGCCTTCTGGAGACAGTCTGTGTTACACTGCAGAGATGACAAGTCAAAAACGCACCAATAAACTGAACCATTCTTTCGTCTCTTACCGTCAGCTCAGTCTAGCCAAGTGGCCCCAGTTTGGCCCACAGCCACACCGCAAAATACAGCCTTTCCTGTTAGCAGATCAAACTGCTAACAGAAACAGTAAATGGAGGTGTGCAATGCAGCCTCAGAGAAATCTGCGTGCCTGAAAGATTCTTAAACTGAAGCCCATTAGTACACACAATCATGTGGCCGTTCTATCTAATCAACCAGCACTGCTGAATAACCTGAAGAACAGTCACCTGGTGAACAGCAGAGTTGGGTACTTCTCCTTCCACCCAGCTCTAAGAATTTTCAGAGTCATTTGGACAGAGTATTTTACTGCAAGATGATATCGTACACTGAGAAAATACATGGCTTATTTGCAATTTGGGAGCCATCTTTTCCTCTGTATGCAACAAGTTGGATTCAGATCCCCTGACACTGGTCAAAAGACCCAGAAGTGCCATGTACATATGTACACCCAGGGAAGACCGAAACCTTCTGCTGGCTACTCTACCAGTAAATGGACCTTCTTCAAATTCAGGATCCACAAAAATTATGCTTTACTCTCTTAGGTGACTGTCTTGAGTACTTCAATGGAGCAGACAAAGGTCTTAAAACAGGGTGATTATTCTGACGGTGAAAAACAGCCATTTAAATTCCAGACTGTATGGTCTCAAATTACTCTGGTATACTACTGTACCACAGTACTGGTACTGTATGTTTTCACACAAGAGTTTTTACAACTGACTTTCCACTTGGTTCAATACAAAATTTTGCAGAATGTGGCAGTAAATGTCCAGCTAGTGGGTAACTGCACAAGCAGTCTGGGCCAGACTAAAGCAGAGAAAGATTTTTTTTCTCCCCACATGTGTACTGTGCTTCAGAGCTCCTCCAACTGGCTTACTTCCTCCAAGCCTGATGAATTCAATCCTATGGGGAAGCACAGAACACGAGGGAGAAGCATGTATCACCAACAGGAAAGCTGAAGAGGCTTAATTTCTTCTAAAAAAACAGGACCCTTTCAAGATATCTACATCTCTATTCCCTGTCCTCAAAAAAATCATCAGTCCTGTTTAAAAACTGAGTAACTTGACATCATCTGGCAAGTAACCTATAAAGTCTCAACTAAAATACAGGTTTCCAATTCTCAGGGCAAAGACGGAGCACATGATGAAGCATGACAGCAAGATCTTTGTTACAGAATCTTTCTGTACTCTCTTGTGGACAGATGCAGAATCTGCAAGCATAGATTAACTTCAGTTCAACTCCCTCCTTTCCTTAAAGGAAGAAAATAATCCCAGGCTGAAGCAAGCACACCAGTTTCTTCATATCACCGATGCAGAACGTCCAAATTCCTTATTGCTCAAGACAGCACTTGCGTTCAGTTGTGACCATTCTACACCCTCAGGGTCAAAAACGTTGTGTTTTTTTTTTTTTTTTTTTTACTGCGTTTAACATCAGTTAACTCGCTGAATCATTGCTTATGGGAACTGGGCAAATCCTTTACGCAAACTGGCTACTCAACAATTCTGGCTTCCAGTTTAGGATCTACAGAACAAACCAGCTGCCTGATACTTCTTACACTCTGTTGCAAGATCTCTGATGAAAATGCTGGCACAGAACAGTATTCCAATGCGACTTTTGCAACTACTCACAAGCATCATGGAAGAAACATTTCTGCCGTTGAGAACAGACTGCTCAAATACTATTCCAAAAGTAATTCTCCGTTGAAACAAACGGGGCCAAGAAATCTAGAAAAGCTGCCTGCCTTTGCAGTACACAATCAGCTTTGACACTTACCTACAGTGCACTAGCCACTCTCTGCAACGGTTCTTTCACAAAGATCATATGGTATAATTTCTTTTGCAACAAGCAGCAAAAACAGGCAAAAAGTTTGCTTTTACCAAGCTCAGATCTGGAGTTACCGGCTATTAAATTTAAAAGTATAGCAAGTTCGTAAGCAACTTGTTGAAATAATGCATGGATAGGATTCACTTCCTCTTCAGTGACAATCACAGAACCACAAATTCATGGCATGATATCCTGACACTGCACTGGTAACCCTACCATCTGATGTTGCAATGCACAAAATCAAACAAGAATGTGGCTTTCCGGTATTTCAATAAAACTATCCAGCAAGTGCAGATGTGGTGGAAAATACCCAATCAAACCCAAGATTCTTTATGCTTTTCAAAACAGAAAATGAGAAGTTTGAAAAAATAAGTTTTTTCAAGAGGTAATTTGGTTTTGGTGACAACCATTACAAGAATGTAATATTTTTTCCCCAATGTTTTACTTCCCATTAAGTAATGGTGTCCATTTTTAATTGGGGAAAAAAAAAAAAAAGGAAAAAGAAAACAAAACTCAGAAGGTATCAGCAAAACCAAACACATTTCCATCTTCTCTTATCATACTTAACCCACTTGTTCCTTTGGAAGAAAGGGAGACTGCAGGTGCAGGCCAGCCATTCAGTTTGTGCTGTGATCTCCTTCATGTGGCCCAGCACATGAATACTGCTCATGCTGCCGGCCAGTTAGAAGAACTGTCATTAAATCTAGTCACCTCACAACTGTCCTACAGTTTACAGCTGCTTTGTGGCTGAAAACTGATCACTGCTGACTAGGGTTTTAATGAACGTAGGTTTAAGTAGAAGAGATACGTGGAGTCTTGTAAACTGTACAGCTCAGTACAATGGCTGGTACAGCGTCCTGTAAAGAAACAAGATGTGGCATTTCAGCAAAACAAACTTTTCTTGTTTAGATGATAATACTTACATCTCCTTCAAGGCTGAGCTTGCTTAAAATTTCATGGACAGTAGTCATCTTGAAAGAATGCTGGAGGAAGAGGGAAAAAAAAAAATAGACTTAAATATATTTACAATTACATCAATGTGTTATATAGTCTTGAAACACTGCAGCACTGAAAGTGACACAGTCCAACAAATCTGCTAATCCCAAGCAAGAAAGCAGATTTAAGAGTTTTGAAGCCACACCATTATTAATAATGCAACAGTGAGAGCTCTTCATCCTATCATACAACAAAAATATATCTTTAGTCCTTAAAAAAAACATTTCTTCTGCATTCTAAATACTTAAACATAGGAACTGGAGAATCTCTACCTCAGAAACAGGATCATCTAAGTCTACAACTCAGTACCTGGAAACTTCTGCAGAAACATTATAGCCTGGTCCACCTCACAGCCAAAAAGCAACAACTAGAAGCATTTAAATCACATGCTCAATTCCTCAAGAAATCACGGAATACATTGAAACTACTTCTATTCATGCAGACGTTTTATAAAATCATAATGCTGTTCCATCTTTAATCCTGGACACAGGCCACAAAACGCCTCTAACATCATACGGTTTTGTATCGGCTGCCCAGGAATACATCACAGCAGCAGCTACGAACACCGGTTAGTAACATGACTGTCAGACACTAGGTAACAAGGGCTCTCTTGAAGTGACAGCAGCACAAGCAAGAGCCATCGAGGCAAGATAATCAGTATCACTGTTCCACTGCCAGAGCCTGCATAGCCCCTCGCTAACATACATAAAGAAAAACAGAGAAAACCCCAGCCCCGAGACAGATTGCACGCACTGCAGAAATGAACATCAGTGTGACGTGCTTACAACGTCCTGCCTTTTTTTACAACTCTGTTATCTGGTCAGAGAAGTGCGCCAGAGCTGTACTACTGTTTTACTGGAAGGGTCTCTCAACTAAGGAGGAAAGTTTTTCCAAAGCTTATAAGCCAGAGGCAATATTTAAGAGGCTGGATGCATTCCTAAAACTCTGCTTTCAAATTCCTCTACTGAAAGGACAGACACTGCCACTCACATTACCTTCCAGTCATCCAGGCTGGCACCTGCAACCATTATTTTGCCTGTTGAAACTAAAGCTTGTTTCTCAGGACCTCTACAATGAAGCTGCAGAGAGCGTTACCAACAACAGGGAAAAGAGCTGGCTTGATGAGAGAGAGGTAGGAGAGAAAGCAGAGCAACACCTCAAGACCAGCAACGCTCCACTGATAACTGAGCCTGCAACCAAAGCTACACTATCTCCAGCCTCGCCGGGTGCCGCCCCGTCACTTCCACACTGTCACTGGTCCCCCCAGACACTGGGCCCTCCGAGCCAACTCCCAGCTGTTGCGCAGCCAGTCCTGGGTATGCCCTTTCAACCGGTTTTCAGACTCTTTCTCTGTTCACCACCAATCACTCTTCTTGCAGTATTGGCACTTTCTCAGGCAAGCAGTACTAGCCGTCCAGGCAAAATTCCACAAACCAAACTCCTCTCCACTCAGGATCAATCCAATCAAATCCAATTGAACCAAGAGCTCAGAGAACCAGCAAGGAGTTTGAAATAGTTTCTTAATAATGGAGATCTGGTTAAAACTCTAGAACAAGTGTTTTATTTTTTGTTTTAGCTCCTGCAAACCTCCCGTACATCAAGAGAAAAGCAGAGAAATCCTTATTTTTAGCAGATATAGCAAGTATTACAAGAATAAAATGCAGAAACCCAATTACATAGCTTTTGTAGTGTAACTGTTGTAATCACATCTTTCCTCATTTAGAATACAGAAAGAAAACCTTTCATCTTCTGAAGCAACCTAGGTATAAATAACAAAAGCAACTCCATTTCAAAGAAAAATTAGCATCCCAGGGGAGGAAAATTAAGACAGAGGATGAAAAGTCACAGTCATGCATCAATTTATTTGAGAATAAATCTTTTTCACCGCAAAAATCCAACGCAGCCCTTTCAAGATGGGCCGCAGAATTGTAATAAGCTGCTGCCTGCTATTGACACTATTAACCATGCTAGTGCGAGGGGAGTGATATATTACTGAGTGATGAAATTCTTAATGTTTAATCTTAACAAAATCAAGTGCCTAACAATGAGACCTTTGTACTCCAACAGTATTACTACCAATACCAAAGATGAGCAACTGAAGTCCTTTAGTCTTGCTTGTTACAAAGAACCAAAAACACCAGCGAAAGCTGAAGCAAAGCAACTGCAGTATAATCTTTCACAAAACAATCACTGAACAGCTTTTTGCAAGACTCCTGTTTCTAAATCAATTAAAAACCACATTGAATCAGGCTCGTTGGAACAAAAAACTTGAACCGAGTCCAGGAACAGAACGAACACACCCGCACGTAGAGCTGGAACTGGGAGGTTCCCATCTTCGGGACACAACAACGCTATAGCAAGCGACCACCCATCAGCAGCAAGCTAGCAGAAGAGAAAAAATGGGAAGTCTGGAAGAACCTTTGCAGAAAAAGTTCTTTACTCAGAGAACAAATGCATCTCTTGTCACACCCTGCTTTGCAAGACACTCATATTTGAGAACAGACTCTCACTGTTCTCCGGTGGACTGATTTTATCTGATGCAGTTTTGACAAGTTGTGGGTGGGTTTGAATAAGCAAATAGAAAATACTTGCGCTAACTTGTTCTTCCTTACACTGGAAAAGAACCAGCTTCTACCTTCCAGCTGTAAACTAATACTTCAATACCTTAAGGCAAGTTTCCACAACTGGTTTTCTTCCTAAATCCACATCAGATAATCCTGACTTACAATTTTAGTCTACTAAAAGAGATAGCGTCTGTTTTAACCTCGACCCCCACAATAATCACTGGTTTGCAAATCTGTTCTATTATTCGGCCCAGTCTATACTCAGAATTTTATCTCCATAACTGTTTGGTGACAGAAGAGCGTGTGTTTAAAAGCAGCTCCCCATCTCAATTCCCAGGGGCAGCTCACATACATTAGAGCAGAAAAAGACCCATGTGATCCATGGAAAAAAGTGTCAGGTGTGCACAAACAACTACATTGCTCAACAAGCAGAGTTAGCATTTTAAGAAGCCCTTATTACACTCTGATAGACAGAGACTGAGCAAAGGGTGTTCCCAGACATCTGAGCCAAGGACACGGCATCCCCAGAATGAGAAAATGGAAACTCTTTCACTTGGACCATGTTTGTGTCGGGTCTCCAAAAACCAGGGCAAGGCCTAGCAACAGAGGAGATGAAGGAGAGCAAGGAAGATAGCAGTATCTGCTGTAAATGAAATAAGGACTCAAAATAATTAATTTATATACAGTGCTAACCACAAGTACAAATGAGCCAGGGTCTACCTCCCCAAATCACCCGATAAAGTTCAGAACATCATCTACAGCCACCAGCTGGAGAAAAAAATAGCTTTAAAGAAAAGGATTTCAAAACCCATCAAACCACACTACCACAAATATACTTCAACCATTCTCTTCCACAGGCACCGCTAGTAACACAGGAGATGTTCCATGCCAGGAAGACACTACGCACGTACAAAGTTACGGACTTTTTATTTCTTCAAACTCCAGTGACTCTCACTTCCGAGACTTGACAGGAAAACCTGTTTTTTTGGTTTTTTTCAGTCAAGGCAAAGCATTCCACACATCAGCTAGCAGGAACTACGCTCACTCAGGCTGCTGACCACCCTGGCTCCACCAACACCAGGCACGCAGGGACCGGATCGCCGACAGGCTCAGAGGCTCCGGGAGAGTCTCTGACTGCTGACCCGCGGTGTTAGAGGCCGCGCCCCTCCCCGCAGGGACAGCATTTGACCGCGCACGCTAAACGCAACTACAGCTGCCGTGCGCAAGAACACCGCTCGCTTCCGCACGACTGTCCGGGCACCGCTTCGCGCCTCTCCCAGCTGCAACGCACGGCAGCGCCCTTTGCCCTGACCCCGCC